AAAAAGCGGGAAAGTGGATATCGCTCTGCTGTACAATAGGTTACAAGTGGGTTACTTAATATAGGTTACTGTAATTGATGGAATTAAATTTGAATCAAACGATATTATATCATTGTATACAAAAAACAATTCTGAGCGGAGACAGTTTATCTGTCTAGGATATATTATATAGGTTACTCATTAAAATATTTGACTTTCCGGTGGAATTTTGTTTTTTTTCTTGATAAAGGTAGACAAACTTATAAGGCATCTTGAATTAAATTTTCAAATCTAAGATTTATAAATAACAATTTTTATGAATTTCTATCTAAAATAATTTGAACATTGCCGTAATTTTTACGTATTTAGTCAAAATTTGAACTTTAAATGCTTATAAAAAAAAAAAATCGTGCCTATGTATTTTTAATATTTTGTCGAAAACTGATTGTGTGTAAAATTTCCCATTTTTCCCATAATTTTTTGTTTGTTTATCCCAATTATTTAGAAAAATATTGAGAATTTTTTACTTTTAACCCCCCAAAGTACCAACTAGTTCACTTTATGATCTAATAGGGTACTGAAGTCGAAAATCAAAGCATTTTTAATGCCCCAAAACGTGATGACAGACACAAAAAAACACACATCATAGTAAAACCAATATACCTACATTCCTTGCTCCGCTCAGAATCTAAAATATATGACACATATATACTATTTAAAAGATGAACAAAAGAATATGCAACTTTAGATGATTTAGCTAGGCTACTTAATTTAATTATATGAYTTACACAGTTTCACACAATAATTGTATAAGTCTATAGTCTATAGGTATATCTATATTTGTTAAAATATATTTCTATAGTTATAAAGGTGTATCAATAAGATAATTAACAAGATATATCTATTCATTTCTATATTTGATATTAAATGTTATATTAATCGTATAACGTCTAAAGGCAGGTGCCTACTATTGAAATGAATAATATAGATAATAATTATTGATGTAATATTTTATAATCAACACAAAAAATTAGATTTATTGTACATTTATTACATTTACCTATACTATAAATTTAATAAACGGCCATCATTTAAAATTGATTTGCTCTACACGTAGGATCTTTTTTAGATATATTTATATATATTGGCCATAACCAATCAACTATAAAATACCTGAGTATAGTATAGAAATAGTGACCTACTATATTAACTTTTTTTATCAAGGATAATTAATGATAGAATTAAAAATTAAAATGATTACAATGACATTGTCATATTATATATGCATATTAAAATACAGTTTTTATATCATATCAATAAATGACAAAATATTAGAAGTAATACTCATACCTATTACATTATGTATGGATACTATAGATAGTTAGATATGTATAATACCAACTTATTATAGATAGTTAGTATAATTTATTCGATCATGGTTACTATAACAATAAAAGAATGATTATTGCTGAGTTAATCTTACTTGAAGCCTCTCCATGTATATTATATAGTTGTGAATTATAATCTCTATATTGTTAAATAGGTAAATTTAGTRCTCGTATTTATTGTAAGCCAAATCGCATTATGTTTCAAAAAAAATTATATTATAGGTGATATAATATAAGCTTTAATTACTGATATAAGTAAATAATTAGACTTACATACTKAGTTATATCAGTGATCAGGATTTGTATTTACTATATTTTAAATTTTATATTATACTAATTATATTAGGTAGATATAAATATAGAAATGTATGGATTTAAATATTGACATGAAGAATTATTCAAAACGTTTTTACCCATAAAATAGTTTTATAATATTATATATATCCACG